CTGGATGAGTTGGCCTCTTATGAGGGAGGGCTAAATGATCTTCAATAACATCGTGAGGCCTATTAATTGTGGTAAATGCAGCTATCAGTTCTCAAGTCACCTAGGGCGACTGATTTCTCATTCTTTGTGTATTGTGGTATTTCGGCATAGCAGGGGCGAAGCGTTTTCGCCAACCCACCAGTCTTAATCTCTTTCCTCGATTTAAGACGTTCAGGCTTTCCTTCTTCTCTTCGACTATTTCATTGCAATTACGGACGCCTCGTTTCGGGAAGGTTAAGGGGCCTGACTGACTCCTGGAGAGCTATTTTCCGCAAAGCCTTGGACCGTGATCAATTAAAGAAGATCTCTTAATCGGGAGCCTGATCAGTTCTGGTTCAGGGGTGAAACATGATGCTTTAATGGCGTGTAACTACTACTTGGGTGGTGTGCCTGATGCTGTCTAGGCCTCCAATCCCAGCTTCGACCAAAAAGAAGGCAAATGGAAGAAGGCGGATAATGGTTATCTTGGTACTTTTGTGAGGGCTATTTTTCTTTATCTGACTTAACTTCATGTATTGGCTGCTGAAAAAAGCCTCCAACGCTCACTACATCAGCAAGAGACCGTTAAGAGACACTATCAGCGAAGATGTCGGCATGAGCGGTACGAGAAGCACTTAAGGACGACGGAAGGACCAGGAGGGTTGATGGCACGGCCCGAGTAGAGGGGAAGCTAAGACCAGACAGGAGGCATTTGAGTATTCTCACACCGTCTGATTTCTGAACAAAGCGTCCCGACCGGAGTGTGGGATATGACACTTTAAGAAAAAATGTGCATGTTGCTACCCATGCCCAGTGAACGGACAAAGAGCACATGGTCAGACAGCCGAAACTCGATTTGAGCCACTTCATTCGGACGTCCAGAGAGCTGTTTCTTTGGAGCTGTATCTTCGTGTGAGATCCATTAGCAGCACATATCGAGGAGACTGAACTATTTGCCTCCAGCCTCTATTGCTTGGTCTCAGCGTACACTTGCGACGTGGTGCTTCTTCGTCCTGGTCTTATTTTAACACGCAGATGGAGACCGGCGAGCAATGATAGCCCCATGAAATGGCTGTCTTGGTGACCTCCTGGACCTTATGTTTTCCGGTCTCTTGAGTTTATGATCAAAATGTGCCACTTGCACACGAGCACAACTAGACGATCCATCAATATGCCTTCGATGCTTTAAATTGGATATCGGTTGGCAACCTTTGACATGGTCTTGAAGACCTTCTTTGAGGCTTGAAACTTGGCGAATAGCCACTACTGATCTTCTAGTCGCTTCAAAATGTCGGCCAGTATCTGACTTCGTCTTCTTCATGCCTATTGAAACCTACTGCAACTATGGCAACTTATC